TTTTTTTTTTTTTTTTTTTTTTTTTTTTTTTTATCATGTCCAGCTGGAAAAGGATGTGTATGGTGTGACCACCTCAAATAGCCTCATAGTGTGAGTCCTGAAATAGGAGAGCTTTTGTCTCATATCTATGATGTGCCTGGCAGAAGGTGTTATGTTTCTAAGGGATTGTGAAAGCCACTGGCTTAGAGTGCTTTTCGACCTGGGCTTTCTTTGGACCTCTTCCACTTTGTAGAAAATTAATTGCATATGTACTGAGAACACACAATGATTCTCCCATGTGATGAGTAGGAAATTTGTTGAAGCCCAGAAATACCTGTGTTTAAAAGTGAGCTCTTGGGAGGGTCAGGCATTCCTTCCACATGCAGGACTACAACACAACTGGCTGTCCAGGTCACTTACATCTGAGGCAGGATTCAAGAGTGGAATGACCCTGATTTTCCCATAGCAAGTTTCCCATGGTATATAAAGGTTATATCATGCTGTCATTGTCTTATGTGAAAATGTTAATCATACTAACAATGGTATGAATTCAACGGGTATTTGCTAAAAAAGCAGGGGTGAATAACCCCCTTTTTTTTTTTCTGGCAAATTTACTTTTTCCTAAAAAAACAATTACCTAGAGGCACTCCTGAGTTAATCACAGAATCTTCTTTGCTATTTTACAATGATTTTTGCACTTCAAACCAGTTTGATGATTTTCATATTTGCATTTTTGAATCTGTGTCAACTAACTGTGGCAGGAGAGCCTACCCCTCATAAGACCTAAAATCCAATCCAATGCACTGCTGGTGCTGTCTTGATGTTAAAGTATGCTAAGACCATCCTGGTTCACCAGACTTCGAATACACATCCTGCTATTGAAACAGGATTTGACAGATAAGCTAGTCTGCTGGCTTGTAGATCTATGACTAGCAGTCAATCACTTTATACTATAAAAGTCCAGTACCCTTGTATACAGTCAGGTTCATCTAACATAACCCTTCTTAGAGTGTATGTGTGGAAATTCCTCCCTTGGCTGGGGATGCCCTCCAAGGTTGAGAGAAATAGATCTCATGAGCTTTGGTATGGGTGAGTTACACCCATTAAGTAAGATATCTACTTAATAATTATTACTTTTTGCTAGCTTTAATATAACTGCTTCAATAATGTTTTATCACAGTGCACTATACTACTTTATGCTATATTATACTCTAGTAGTATATTTTTAGTGTTTATATTGTGTAGTAAATAGTTCTGATTAAGATATTTTGTCTGATCATTTGTATAAAATAAATTATTCATTTTATATAAATATTCTCATTTTGCCAGTCATTAAAACCTGTGGAACAAAGTGGTTCAATCATACTTCTATAATTCCTTTAAATTTAAACTGCTAACACAGTCCAAGGCTAAGATTGTATTCAGCCACATCTAAACCTTTCCTGAGAAGGAGTTTAGAAAGCAAGGAAGTCCTTTCTGTAACTCTAGACTCACCAGCAAGGCTTTTTAATAACTTTGTCTAAGCTTTTCAGACCCGCGACACTAACTTTCCTGTGGGTTGAAGAAGATTGGATTGTGGGGAAGTCTGTCATGCTTGATATGTGGTAAGCTAATGTTCTGCTTTGACCACAAAACAGAGGAAAGTTAGAGCAATCAGAAGAAATGAGGTATGTGTAACATTTGTAACACCCTTCTGATCCTATCTTTGGGTGAACTGTGTATATCTTACATGGATCTTACACACAGTGAGTTACATTTAGATCTGTCAAAACTTTTCCACACAGTAACTATACAAACCTTGTCTAACTTTTCACTAATACAGGGCACCAACATGTACTAACAGCTTGTTATTTGTAATGGGCTGATAAGATATTGAGTTCTCTATCTGTGGGTTGCTAAAGAAGGGTCTTTTTCCACCCCATCCTCTGGGAGAAGAGGGTTGATTATATCACTTGACACTGTTACAATACCAGTGTACCAGCCCACCACTCCCCCAAAACTAGTCCTAGGAAAAACTGTGGTATATGATTAAACCTTTCAAGCTAGCAAGTCTTTGGAGCTTGCGGACTTGGAGAAAATAAAGAAATTTCCTTCTTTCAGTAACCTCTCTCCCAAACTGATCTCACTGGGGGGTCTGGCACTGGTCCCCTAGAAACACCTCACCTTAGGGGAAGGTTGGAGGGACAGGTGCTAACCCAATCTTTCTGACCAGATTGCAGTACTCCAATAAAACCCACTGCTCACCCACCCCTTCCTTCCCCACACTAGCCCCCTCACCCAGCCAACCCTCTACACATGGAAACTTTGGTAGGAAAAGGGAGAACAAGGACTGCACACACAAACTTTTTGTCTGCTGTATAAACAAGTAGTGTCAGAGCATCATCACTCAGGTGGGGAAAAAGGGAGGGAAGCAGAAGGAATAACAGTGTGGGAGAGGTAAAACAGGCAGAGGAACACACAGGGTCAGGTGGAACCACGCTGCCTACACTGACCCAGACCCAAAATTAACACTGCAGTTAATGTGAGACTGCAGCAGAATTGGCACTTAATAATTTCAGTCTAATTTGAATGCATCTTGAATTATGATAGTGTCATGATATTGCTCTGTTGCTCCTCACTGATAAGTGAGTCTTCAAGTTCATGGTCTTTTATCTCTTCTGTTGGCCTTCTTCACTTCATCCTGGATCTGACACCTCTCTCTTATACTTTGGACAAGATGTTGTACTTCTCTACAGTACTCATAGAAAGCATTGCAATCAATCTTTTAAAACTGTAAGTTTAGATTTTGCTATCAAATACTTAACAGAATATTTTTCTCTGTCCCTGAGCACAGACTGAATTTACCTTGCAGGAGTTTTCTTCACTTCCCCTATTCAAGTCTTTGAAGATGCATACTTGCAGAAAGGAAATTTATGTGTTTGTTCCCATACTCTCCTCTCCTAGGCTGTCAGGAATTATCCGGGTCAAGGGCTGTCTTTCTTATTTCCTCATTCATTGTGCGATGCACAGAAACATCTTTCCTACTCTCTACGTTAGATGATGGACTAATCCTCCTTCTAGTTCATCAGCTCAGGTATTTATGTGTGCAACAAATAATAATTAATGGAAAAAAAGTATTTAAAGTACTCACTCCAACCTGGCAATACCGCCGAGGAGTCTATTTTTCTGACTTCTCGCTAGCAGGCAATTTGTAATTTTGTGGCTAGGAGCAGATGGGTTCCTGGTGAGGAGGAAGTTTTCGGGGTTTGAGGGTGCTTTTCCTTCCTTCTGCCAGCAAACAGCGATCCACGCCAGGATTTGCTTTCTGCTCCTGGATTTCGGCGATGCAATGTGTAGCACGTTTCTCTCTCTCTCTTTCTCTCTCTCTCTCTCTCTCTCTCTCTCTCTGTGTGTGTGTGTGTGTGTGTGTGTGTGTGTATGTGTCTGATGTGTGTATGTGTGTTGTGTGTGTGTGTGTGTGCGGCTCTCCCTGGCTGTGTCTCGTCTCCAGGATTTCTCCCTGCCTGGCTCCGGAGGCTGCTCCAGCGCTGTGCGGAGCAGAGGTTTCCCCAGCTCCCGTAAATACAGGCACACGCATTCAGAGCACCACACGCACGCACACCACACACACAGACACACACACAGAGGCACACAGGCACGCTCCGAGCCGCTGTCCAGTCCATCCCCACGCCGACTGCCTTTCCCACCACCTCCATCCAGCCTGGCAGAGGCGGCAGGCACAGCTCCGTGGACGGTCTCGCTGCTGCTGCCCCGGGACTCCGATCGCAGCAACGCGCCCGCGGTTTCAATCTTCACAACCTACAGCCAGATTTTTGCCCTCTTTTTTCCTTTTCCTTTTTATTTTTTGGTTTGAGCTTTCTGGTTGTGGCTTTTTTTGTTTGTTTGTTTGTTTGTTTGTTTGGGTTTTTTTCTTTTTCCTTTTTTTTTTTTTTTTGGCGTGGGGCGAGCGCTTTGCTTTTGGCTTTTGGAGAAGGAGCCGGGGGGGGGACGAGGCTACCGCTCTCCTGCCCCCGCCGTGCGCGCATGTGTGTGTGTGCGCGCCCAATTCCTCCCCACCTCGCAAAAGTTTGCCTGGGCGGCCGGGGGGCTCCCGGGCAGCCGCCCCCGCAGCCGGGGGGCGCGGCGGAGGCGCGGCGGGGCGCTGGAGGCGGCGGCGCGGGACTTGCGCGCCGCGCGGGAGTTGCGCGCCGCGCCATGCCGGCGGCGCGGGGGGCTGCGCGGCGCTGCGCCCTGCCGGGGCCGCTGCTGCCGGGGCCGCCGCCACCGCTGCTGCTGATGGTGCTGCTAGTGCTGCCGGCCGCGGGGGCCGAGGGCAAGGCGCGGAGCTGCGGCGAGGTGCGGCAGGCGTACAGCGCCAAGGGCTTCAGCCTGGCCAGCGTGCCCTACCAGGAGATCGCAGGTAAGGAAGGGGCCGCGGCTGAGGGGCGCGGGCGGGGCGGGGGCCGCGGACCGGGGACGGCGCTGTCGCCGCCGCCGCCGAGCTGCGCGCACTGCCGCGGGAGCGCGGCCGGCGGTCGCGGGGGGGTGTGCGCGGTGCGGAGCGGCTCTGCCGGCCCGGGTGGCACCCGGGGGCTTCCCGGCGGAGCTTGTGCGTGTGTAAATAATGGTTAAATAAACACAGAAACTAAGGGGGCGGGGGGTAAAAAAAAAAAAGGAAAAAAAAAAAAGGAGGGAGAGCGAGGGCGACGCGGGCAAGCTCAGCCGCGGTTCTGCTCGCCGGCAGAAACTTCTTGAGAGTTGCAGCCGGGCTGCGAGTGGCAGCAGGCGGGTCCGCAGTGCCGGCTGCCTCCGCTGCCGCCCTGTGCGGGCGAATAACTTTGCCCTCTGCCCGCGGACACAGGGAGTGCGGGAGGCTGAGGAAGAGGAGGAGGAGAGTGAGGAAGGCAGTCCTGCTCCCCTCCCGCACCCCGCTGCGGCCTCGGACCGGGTGGGTCGCCCCTTGGAGGCGCCGCCGGGCGCCTCCGCCGCAGCCCCGATGGAGCAGAGGCACCGGCTGCCGGGGAGAGGCACCCACTCATACATACACACCCTCTCCACCGCCCCGGAGCTCGGGCAGCCTGTTACATGGCTCTTCCGTCTGCTGAAACATGCCTACAACAGGTTATATCTCAATCCGCCTACGGAGGTGGGAATGTTTTTTGTTGTAATTTTATTTCCCTGCTTTTCCCTACAACCTTATCACAAAAATACGTCCGGGGCCGATAATCCTTTAGCAATCGGAGAGCACCACAAAAAAAGAGAGAAATTATATGGGAAGACATGAGCTGGGGCTTCTTAAATCGGACTGCTTGAGCCCTCAAGAAAGGTTTATGCTTTGCCACTGGCACTTTGCTGTTAGGTCCTGCTATTTGTAGAGTGAATTAGATGCTCCTTGGTTTGCTCATTTCCTTTTCAAAGTTGGAAGCAGCAGATTTATATTCCTTGAGGTGAAATAACACCACAGTTATTCACTGTGCAGTATTTAGCACTTTACGTGAGGAATGATAAATGTGGAAAATCTCAGGACAGCGAGGCTGTAGTTCACAAAGATACGGGGAAGGTTGTTCCCTGTTGCCAATGCAGAACAGACCAGATCTCTGCTCAGCCACATTGGGACCCATTGATGTGCTTTAGGACATGGCAGGAGAGTAAAGGGCCTGTGGGTGTAACTATTCCACAGGCACCTTCATTCCTCAGGCTTACTAATTCTCTGATCTTTCTGTGCTTTTTCCTTTAATTTATTTTCAGGTTGCTCATCAGTTATTTGAAATCATGAAATCTCTCCTGTGAGCCACAGATCCTTTGAATATGCAGTCAGGCTTTCCCTTTGCTAACTATTACACCAGTTCCTTTGAAACAAGGTGGAAGGATATGTTCTCTCCTAGTAAAAAAGGAAATCCAGTAAATTTGTATTAGCTTTGGTTAAACACTTGTTGCTTTCAGCTCACAGAGAAGTTTTATTGTCTCATATATTTTCTGAATGTACCATGCAAAGTTGACATGCAATTTTTAAGTAAGTCCAGCATTTGCATGTTTTTGTTGACATGTATCAATATATAAAGACTCAGACTAATTAAATATTTAGTAGTAGTTCAATCCAAAATTACTCAATGGTTTCCTGCTAAGTTTCATAAGTAATATCTACTTTTATGATTAAGAAGTACATGATTTACAGAGGTATGAGTAATTTTTTCTGAACTTCCTATTGAAGTTGTTTGTTTTCTTTGTGGTTTATCTGCCTTGTTACTAGTTGGTGTATCAACTTCTGAGCAGTTCTGTTTGTAGCTGTTCAAGTTACTCAGTTGTTGGAAGACTAGGGCTGCTTTAAGGTGTGTTTCGGAGTCTGCTCTTCTTGTACGTTTCTGAGAGGTTGTGTAGTAACTGTTCATGCAGCATGGACTCTTGTTAATGTGAAAGCTATGTGTTTGTGACCTGGTGCAATGTCGGAAATTTAGTTAAAGCAATCAATGTACAAGTTTCAGATTCTTTTTTCTTTTTTTTTCCCCCCCCATTCTGTCTTTTTCTACCTTACTGTCGGTTAAGGAAGCAATTTGTTACTGTTACAAAAGAAGTATAATCTGTCAAAGGCCTCATGTTTCAAAGGAGTTCAGAGAACTTTAATTAGAGTCATATTTCCTAAAAAACATTATGTTTTCAAAAGATTTTGCCTTAATGCCTTGATAATATAATGACAAACAGTAGTGGACAGCGTGGTTTGTGTGTTTGATTTAACATTAGTCAAATGTTTTCAGTTGGCATTTATAGCTAGGACTACTGAAATGAATAAACTGGAGGTGTAGTATGTACGTACTGATGCAAAGTGTTTATGTATTGATGTAAAGAGCTGAAGAATCTGTTTAAGTTAGAAAGGCTACGGACACAGAGGTGTCTCTCTGTGAATGGAGCTGCAAGAGAAGACTTGTTCGACAACTTTTGTGACATTATTTATACTGTCACTTTTGAACAGAGAATGTAGAAGTTACAGATTAAAAAAGCTGTCAGTTTTTGCATCCTAAGGCAAGGTTTTCCTCCAGTATTTTGTTGCACATGAAATACACTGAAGTTGGTAGTAATGTCACTACACTTGTTCGCTGTACTTTTTTACATCAATGCTAAACTGTTCAATGTAATTATATAGAACTTATTTGTAATCAACCTGCTGCATCTGACATCTTGTCTGATCACCAAGTTCTGGTGCTGTGACTTGCATTAGAGTACAGTATATAAAGTTGTTTTCCAATATAGGTTGTCAGAGTAAGTCCTTAATAAAGGACTTTGACGGGGAATGGAGAGAGGAAGAAAATTTGAAGTATACGTAATATGCTGCTGTGGGCTTGATTCTGTGCATCAGTCATGTGCAGGGTTGGTAGTAGGAGCTTGCAGTGTAAACTTGGCTGTCCTTGTAAAATCTGCCCTTTCTGAGAGCTGCTGTGGAGTATCCTGCATGTGAAGAAGAATTCTACTGTGAGACTGAGGCTGCTGTGACCCAGCATTCATGAGCATTAGTGGAGCTCCTGAGGGCTCTACAGGAAATGTTTTGCTGTAGGAAAATCTGTGATTTGAAAGTCAACACAACAGAGAAGAATCATAGCACATATCTGTTAGCAATAGTTGTTTAACTCCAACCGTGATTTCAGTAACTTACATCATCTTAGAGGAAGCCATGAAAATGAAACATCGAAGTTAAAGTTGGAGTGTGCCCTTGTCTAAAAGTTTTCTGAATGAAAGTGAATTTCTGACTGTTTAAAGTAATGTATGTGTCTGTTTTTGCCTTTCTACTTTCAGTTGTTCTAGAGATTCTGAAAGGTGAAGGGTGTGGGGGTTTTGCGTGTTGTGGTTTTGTTTGGGGTTTGTTTTTTGTTGGTTTTGTTTGTTTGTTTTGTTTGGGGATTTTTACTACATACTGAATAATAGTTTATTTAGAGAAAGACTAGAAGTGTTCTGGTAAAGAGGCCAACTGTAAAGATGTTGAATTCTAAATGCTGCGTAAGAAGTACGTGAGCTTTGTTCTCCTGCGCAGATGATGAACGAGTTGAGATTCTGGCAACACAGAGACACCGTAGTCAAAGTAACTGAAATGAAAGCAGAAGCAAACCCTTCATTTTGAAGGTCAGGAGTCACTTGAAATTGTGCTTTGATGAATGGGCTTCATACTGGCATAATACAGAGGTGTTGACGAAAGGGACCTAGCAAACATATCACAGTTGCTTGTAATTCTAAAGTGGTAATAATTATAATGATGATAATAATAATAATAGTAATACCTCGATAGTCACTCATGCAATTGAGGTATTAGTCCATGTCCAAGATAATCCTTCTGAATGTTTTGCTTTCCTTTAAGTAGCTCTAAAATGCAATGAATAGCGGAAAATACTCCTGGCCGAGTCTATATCCAAGCACTTGTTCATTAATACCTTCTTTTACTGTTTCTCTACTGCTACCACTGAGAACTGTGTGAAAAAAATGCCTGTACTCCAGGAGGCAGATAAGGATTCATAGGCGCCTTGTATGGTTGCCTCAGCAGTGTTAAAAAAGAAAATAGCCTTACTAAAATCAATACTATATTCTGTGCAGCTTGTGAAATCCGTGTTGGTCCGTTAGAGATTAATTCACTCCTGATCTCCATGATGGCAATGAAGATGGACATGGAATTTCATGTAAACTTCATACTTTTTTTTGTTTTAGTGCTGTTGTATTTGTATCCTCCAAATTGTGTGTGACCGCCTCTCACCTCTGTTTGCAATTTCAGTAACTGCAGCATCACCTCCCCTTTCAGCCTCCCTTATTTTCCTGTTGTGGGTGCATGGTGCATGCTAATAAATTGGTGTATGCATTTAGCTAGGAGGATGTGTAAGCTTTCCTAAGACCTGGATTTACTGTCACTTCTGTACATATTTACTGGTTGGTATGTGACTGATGCCATTAAAAGGAATACAACTTCTGTATGCACATCTAAACCTAAAGGTACTGTTTGTAAGATCAGAGCCTTTAAGAAGAAATAGCATGTTTTTAATGCTTATAAATAATTCATTTTTGAATGAGAATTTTAAATCTTGGCATCTGGAGTTTCCCAATGTGACTTTATGCTTGAGTATCTTGGAAAGAGGGACTTTAAAGTAGAAAAGGCAATACTTTAATAATTCGTGTAATGATTAATTTCAGTATATTATCTCTAATAATCTTTTTTTTTCTGCTGTCAGTCTGATTTATAATCAAAAAGCATACCTAAAGCTATAGTATTTTCTACACTCCTAAGTGCTAATGTGTTAAACTGTTCTAATACTGTATTAGTACTTATTTCATCATATGCTGTTGTGAAATACTCCTGAGATTAGGTGGTGTTCAGATACCAGTGAGGTCAAGCACTATGTTAAAAGCTCAGGCTATTCTTTTTATATTACTGCAATAAAGAATACATTA